TCACATGCATACCATATATGTACGGTGTTTGTCGTGTGCCCAGCACATGGTGACACTCCATAGATGGAGCTTGCGCTGCTGCTGCTGCGGTTGGAAGGCATCTGTCTTGTCAACCATTCTGGATCTCTAGGACTTCAACTTGGGGACAAGGTGCTCTTCCCTGAAGCGAGCACCGTCTTTGCTCCTCTGACACCTGAGGGAAAGCTCAGGGGGGAGTCAGCATTTTTGAGGTCTCCTCTCCATGTCCAGTAGTCTGGGCCCCTGTCACCACCTCTAATTGGAATGGGGTGTGGTCCCTGGAGCTCCCAGGTATGCATCGACCTGTGTCCTGTGCACATGTGGCACTCCAAACTTTAAATTACTTGTGGGATTAGCAGGGCCCTGGAGTAACTAAGGTGTCAGGGGCCCCCTGGAGTCCGCGGTGCGGCTTGAGAATTTCTTCGGCTGCTGGGGAAAACCAACCTTCGGGATTTCTGGGCCTCAGGCCAGGATGCCAGATCCTCTTCATGAAGAGTCTGGAGCTGGGACACTAGCACAGCTGAAAGGAATGAAGTGTGAGAAACACCACCAGAGGCTAAAGTCCCCACACGATTTAGGAGGAAAAAGAAGAAAGAGGGTCTCCCAGGTAAGGCAGGGGCGTGACGGGGGTCTTTCTCTGGCACAGTGTCTGGCCGGAGGCTCAGGGAGGAACTGAGAATTGCGTGTGGGATCAGAAGACTCAGAAGCGGCCATCGCACAGGAAGCAGATGGGGAGAGCTGGGCTGGGGCGGTGGCAGAGATGGGGCCTTGCCTCTTGCAGGACGTTTCCCTCAGATGTGCTTTCCTCCTCGCCCGCCTCTGCTCCCAGAAACCTCCCAGCTGCCACTGGTCCTAAACAGCTGCTGCTGGCGCAGAGACGAGCTGCTGGGCTCCCAGTGCCCTCCAGGGACCCCTTGAACCAAGTCCCCTCCCTGTCCTTGCTGCTCTGTCCCCACACAAGCCGCAAGGGAGGCTGGCAGGGCTTCCATCCCACTCCACAGGTGAGGAAGGGAGGCTCAGAGGAAAAGCGGACTCCCTCAGGGTCAGGGGGCGAGAGGCAGGTGGGCCGGCACCAGCCCTGTCTCTAAGCCCACTCTGCGGCTAGCGTTTTCCGTTTTTCTCACCCTCCTCTGAGAAATGTTGAGATTTTTTCTGAATACAAAACAACTGGTACCATGGTATTCAGAGAAAATTTGGGAAGTACTGAAGAGACACCGAGGAAAGCCCTGCCCCTGTGGATTTTGCTATCTTTTCTTTCCAGTACCTTTTTTTTTTTTTTTTTTTTTTTTTTTTTTTTTTTTTTTTGAGATGGAGTCTCTCTCTGTCACCCAGGCTGGAGTGCAGTGGCGCGATCTTGGCTCACTGCGACCTCCGCCTCCCGGGTTCAAATGATTCTCTCACTTCAGCCTCCCAAGTAGCTGGGAATACAGGCACGCGCCACCATGCCCTGCTAACTTTTTTTGTATTTTTAGTAGAGACAGGGTTTCACCATGTTAACCAGGCTGGTCTTGAAATCCAGACATCAAGTGATCTGCCTGCCTCGGCCTCCCAAAGTGCTGGGATTACAAGCATGAACCACTGCGCCCGGCCTCCAGTCACTTTCTATCCACATGACTGTTTGCCTAATTGACATCATAATAGTGTGTGCAAGTTTGACCTTGCCCTTTTAATTTATCATTATGCTATAGTAATATTAGCATGGAGAAAATTACCAATAGGACTATAAGGTCTGTCTAATATTCCATTATGTGAAAAGCATGATTTACTTAAGCATTTATTGGTGGAGAGCTGTATTGTTTCCTATTTTCATTCACAAATACTGCTGTGATAAGTACCTTTATTGAGAGATCTTGGCCTCCAAGCTCACTGATTCTTTAAAACATTTCCTTGAGGGAGAATGGCTGAGGTGAGGAGTAGGCAGGCTTTCTGAATTTTTCCTTTTTCTAGGCAAAGTCTCCTCCAGAAAGGCTGCCTGACAGTGCATGGGGCTCTTTCTACAGCACCACGTTGCTTCCTGCTTCTCATCTGCCTTCTGGCTCCAGAACAGGTAGAGACAAGCCCATGAGCCAAGCCAGGTCCCTGGGACAAACTGAGGCTCCATGCCTGCAGGAAGCGGCCACCAAGCCCAAAGCTTCCCCTCTTCCGCTTGCTCTCCCTGGCTGTCTCCCACCTCCCCGCTTCTCTCCCTCCTCTTACGGGGCTGCAGGTACCAGACCTCTTTGTTTGCTTTCATTCTGAATCCCTTCCAAAACCTGGCATAGCTCGACTAACTGTTGAATGTTTCTTGATGGACAACCAGGAATTCAGATCTCCCCTTCACACAGACACACACAGACACATACAGACACATGCACACACACACACACACACACACCTCACATTCATCACTGTGGGCAGCCACCTTCACCAAGGACTGCTCCCGGCTTGCAGAGGTTGGCGCTGGAGAGTCCATGACAACCCTCAGAGCTGGGATGCCCTGGGAAGCAATTATTCAGCCTTCTCATGGAGCACATGGGGAAACTGAGGCCAAGGGAGGAGAAGAGACTTGCTCCAGCTTGAGAGAATATCCATCACCCAGGTAGGGGTAGTTCTACTAGCTCTGATCTCAGAGTGCAGAGTCTTCCCAGCTCTACAGTTCATTTCAATTAAACAAGTGTACTCAGCAACTTTTCATGAAAGACAGAGGCTTCCACAGAGGCAGCTGTCAAGGAGGCCAAATCCCACGCATCATTCATGCCCACAGGATGTTATTCATAGATAGAAACTTCTGTGTGCATAGATTTATCTTGTGGGAATGGGCAGTGTGGCTTCCCTAACAGAAATCATTTTCCTTGGCCTCTGCAACCACAGCATCTGCTTGAATCTGGTTTGTGGCACTGAATGTAATGTTTGCTTTTCTTCATTTTCTGGAGTGGGTGACAGGTGCACTAGGAGGAACAGGAGATAAGCTGGGGTGGAAGTTCAGGGTGGGGCACTCAGAGGGTGTTGGCTTGCACTGAGCAACCAGGAACACCCTCCTGTGCGTGTGAAGGAATGGGAAGAGGGGAATTGGATTGCACAGGAAATACCTTGAGACCCATGGTTGTGTAATGGGGAAAGCTTCTCCTGGGTTAGACCAATGGTTCCCTCCTGAGTACAATTTTTCGCTGCCCCCCCAACCCCTGCCCTCCCCCCCCCCCCCCCACCGTCTTTCCCCTGGAAGCATGTGGCAGCATCTGGAAACATTTTGGTTGTTACAACTCAGGGTAGAAGATGTTATTGGCAACTGATCAGTGGAGGCCAGAGACTCTGCTAAACATCCTACAATGCACAGGACAGCCCTCACACCAAAGGATTATCCAGCACAAAATGTCAATCGTAAAGAGTTTGAGAAACCCTGAGTTCCATTTAGGATGGGAGCTGCACTGCCTGACAACACATCTGACGTAAACCCTCCCCATGACTGAAGAGAGCATTGGACAGACGGTGAGACTGGCCAGAGAATACACAGTGCTGACTGAGATCAAAGCAGTGTACAAGTTTGACTTTGTCCTTTTAATTTATCATTATGCTATAGTAATATTAGCACAGAGAAAATTATAAATAGTACTATCAAGTCTGTCTGATATTGGAGGGACAGAATCTTTTGCAAAGCTGTGCACCAAAAGAGAAAAGCAGCTGTTTCATGAAAGAAATCAGTACTAGGGCTTGGGATCCAACTCCAGCTCTGCCATTCAACCCCAAGGAGCAAATTTATCTTCTGAGCTCCAGTTACTTCACCTGTAAAACCTGAATGATAATATCTTCTCCATGAGCTGTTTCAAGGAATATGGCACAGGGTAGATTCTCACTAATGTTAATATTAACCACTCATCTTCCATCATCCACCCACTCTTATACACACCCATAGAGCCACTGTCATTAAGAAGGAGCTATCAAAATATTATACATGAGTACTTTGAATTTAGAGTCAGGGAAATTGCAAGTAAGAGACTAGATATCCTCTACACAAAGGCATATAGGTCTTCCTAAAAGCCAACTGCTTGCATAGAACTCAAGAATGGAGTCAGAGAGTCAGAAGATAACACAAGAATAAAATGCAAACATAAAAGGACAAAGAAAAAATGTTCTTAGTCAATCACGGTTAGGAATTTCACAAGCATCCTAATGAGATGGGATCAGAAGTTAATGCCATATACTCTACTATCGATAACTGTAGTTAGAGTGTGGTTGTTAATATTGCATTAACTAATTGGTAAGCTGCACAGTGTTGTGAGTTCAGTCACTCCAACAAATCCATTTGTTGGCTTCATAAATTTCCCAGCTATAGGACCTCCCCATGTATAGAAATAAATCCATATTTCAAATAGGCAGATCTATTCTGTCAATGCTCAAGCCTGTGTCACTAGACTGAAGAAGTAATCCTCTTTATGGTTGAGTATTAACTAGGCTGGTTTCTGTGTGAATGCAGTTGAACAATTTTGCACAATTTCCTCTCACGTGTAATCAAAGTTCAAAGAAACTTAATCACTTTCTAGGTCCAAGAATTGCATCTTCTTGGGAATTTTCCTCTCTGAGAATCTAAGAAAGCCCAGATCAAATGAAATTGTTGTGGATTTACATTAAAGAGAAATAATTCATAGCATTTCCTAGTACTTAATTATAATGCAGAGGAAAAACCCACCTTGGGCCAGGGATATGCTCTGCTGGGTTCAAGTCTTGTCTCTGTCACCAACTTGCTCAGAAGATTTGGACAGGTCACTTCTCCTCCCTAGGCCTCTATTACCTTTGTGGACACCGAGAGGGTGCAGCAACATCAGAAAAATCCCTCAGGCACAACTGGACATTTGAGGCCCTCACCCACTACCTGTTCAGCTCTGACCTTCTGTCTTCTAAGATACCCCCTACTGTCTCTTTTCATCATTTTTCTCTTGCACAGGTATGTTCTTCTATTATGCAGTGGAACTTGACCACATATCAGATGCCTAGGACTCTTTCCAAAAAGCCTGATGTGCTGCTCAGTACTTTGCTGATGGCAGAGGGGATATCACATGGAAAAAGCCAATGAGACCTCCCCTGTGATGGGGTTCACTCTCCTGGGGCTCTCTGCCCACCCAGAGCTGGAAAAGACATTCTTCGTGCTCATCCTGCTAATGTACCTGGTGATCCTGCTGGGCAACGGGGTCCTCATCCTGGTGACCATCCTTGACTCCCGCCTGCACACACCCATGTACTTCTTCCTGGGGAACCTTTCCTTCCTGGACATCTGCTTCACTACCTCCTCAGTCCCACTGGTCCTGGACAGCTTTTTGACTCCCCAGGAAACCATCTCCTTCTCAGCCTGTGCTGTGCAGATGGCACTCTCCTTTGCCATGGCAGGAACAGAGTGCTTGCTCCTGAGTGTGATGGCGTTTGATCGCTATGTGGCCATCTGCAACCCCCTTAGGTACCCTGTGATCATGAGCAAGGCTGCCTATGTGCCCATGGCTGCCAGCTCCTGGGCTATTGGTGGTGCTGCTTCCATGGTACACACATCCTTGGCAATTCAGCTGCCCTTCTGTGGGAACAACATCATCAACCACTTCACCTGTGAGATTCTGGCTGTTCTCAAGTTGGCCTGTGCTGACATTTCCATCAATGTGATCAGCATGGAGGTGACAAATGTGATCTTCCTGGGAGTCCCGGTTCTGTTCATCTCTTTCTCCTATGTCTTCATCATCGCCACCATCCTGAGGATCCCCTCAGCTGAGGGGAGGAGAAAGGCCTTCTCCACCTGCTCTGCCCACCTCACTGTGGTGATTGTCTTCTACGGGACCTTATTCTTCATGTATGGGAAGCCCAAGTCTAAGGACTCCATGGGAGCAGACAAAGAGGATCTTTCAGACAAACTCATCCCTCTTTTCTATGGGGTGGTGACCCCCATGCTCAACCCCATCATCTACAGCCTAAGGAACAAGGACGTGAAGGCCGCTGTGAGGAGCCTGCTGAGACCAAAAGGCTTCACTCAGTGATGGTGGAGGGGTCCTCTGTGATTGTCACCCACATGGAAGTAAGGAATCACAATCACATCAGCTGCCATTCAAAAGCCAAGTCATGTGGCATATAATGGTCTCTCACCCTAAGTCCATTTGCAGGAAATGTTAAACTTTTCAGATGATATCTCCTGAGTTTTAGTCCTGTGTCTGACAGCTTCAGCAGACACCAGACTCAATAAATAATCAACTGTGATGAAGGCACTCTGAACACATGGTAAAACCACACAAGAGAGCAGCCACGAAAGCATGATGCATGGCCCTTAGAGTGTCTCAGCTCTAGATTTAGAACAGGGACGTGGGAAGGTTCTCACAGCAACTTACCAGCCCTACTGGATTCATCAGGGAAATCAGAGGAATAAGGAAGGAGTGGAAATTTTCACTGAGGCTTTAGTTTAATGCACTCAGTTTGCCTGAATGGCTAAGAAAAGATAAGTTCTTCACTTAGAGAGCTTCTGGTTGTGAATAATCTATTTTAATGACTGGATATCTTTTTAGCTATGAGAAAATTTAGGCTATTTTTTCTTGATGCACTGCAGATCATTAAACACCGCCTAGTAAATTAAATAAACTTCAAGGAGTAATGAGTTCAAATTTGACATTCTTACAGAATTTCACAACAGGAAAGCTTGTATTCTGATAGATGCCAAGTCATGTTCTACAAAAAAGATGATGATAAATAGATAGATATAGATAGAAGTAGACAGATGGTGGCTATACATGTTTTGAAGACTTTGGGTCTAATTTTTTTTTTTTTTTTTTTTTTTGAGACAGAGTCTTGCTGTGTCGCCCAGACTAGAGTACAGTGGTGCAATCTCAGCTCGCTGCAACCTCTGCCTCCCAGGTTCAAGCAAGTCTCATCCCTCAGCTTCCTGAGTAGCTGGGACAAAGGCATACACCACCATGCCTGGCTAATTCTTGTATTTTTAGTAGAGACAGGGTTTCACCATTTTGGCCAGGCTGGTCTCAAACTGCTGGCCTCAAGTGATCCATCCGACTCAGCCTCCCAAAGTGCTGGGATTACAAGCGTGAGCCACAGTGTCCTAGTCTATGGGGCTAAATTTTCATAGGTTTCTTTGTTCTAAGACTTCTCAGAGCTTTTATTATGCAAAGGTCCACTGTGAATGTTCAACAGGGTATAAAGTTGTAGCATTTCCTGAGCCTCCAAAATTCAGCACAATAAAAATTGGGAAGCTTTTTTTTTTTTTTTTTTTTTTGAGACAGAGTCTTGCTCTGTCACCCAGGCTGGAGTGCAATGGTATGATCTCGGCTCACTGCAACCTCCACCTCCCAGGTTCAAGCGATTCTCCCACCTCAGCCTCCCGAGTAGCTGGGATTACAGGCACCCGCCATCATTCCTGGCTAATTTCTGTATTTTTGTAGAGGTGGGGTTTCACCATGTTGGCCAGGCTGGTCTTGAACTCCTGACCAAGTCCAAGGTGAACTCCTGACCAGGCAGAGGTGATCCGCCCACCTCAGCCTCCCAAAGTGCTGGGATTACAGGTGTGAGCCACTGCACCCAGCCAGCATTTTTTTTACTTAAGGGTTTGGACAAATTCCTTAACCTCTTTTGCCTGTCTATTCATAGACACAGAAGACAGACAAGAGGTTCAGAAATTGCTGTGGATGAAAAGCAGCAGTTTTATGGCAAGTTATATCAAAGTCTGAGAATATCGAAAGACTTATTTAAAAGGAAACTTTAGAAAGTGAATCCGATTTTAAGAATAGTTCTTGGAATATTTTTGCTTCAAGTGATATATTTAAGTTTTCTTATACTTGTTAAAAATGAATTGGATCACTCGAGCTCAGGAGTTCGAGACCAACCTGCACAACGTAGTGAGACCTTATCTCTATTTAAAAAAAAACATTGAATTGCATAAGATAAGGATGTATATTTTGCTAATAAAATTTCACTGTATTGTGTTAGTCTAAGGTTCTGATTTTTTTTTTTTTTTTTTTTTTTTTTTTGAGACGGAGTCTCGCTCTGTCGCCCAGGCTGGAGTGCAGTGGCCGGATCTTGGCTCACTGCAAGCTCCGCCTCCCGGGTTCACACCATTCTCCTGCCTCAGCCTCCCGAGTAGCTGGGACTACAGGCGCCCGCCACCTCGCCCGGCTAGTTTTTTGTATTTTTTAGTAGAGATGGGGTTTCACCGTGTTAGCCAGGATGGTCTCGATCTCCTGACCTCGTGATCCACCCGTCTCGGCCTCCCAAAGTGCTGGGATTACAGGCTTGAGCCACCACGCCCGGCCTAAGGTTCTGATTTCTACTTGCCCTGGAAGAGAAACAATCTTGCTACTGCAGATACACAGAGTGACATCTAGTGGCCACACAAGCCAACTTCAGACATTTACAAGCTGGGCGGTGTTTTTAGAAGCAGCTGTACAGGTCTCTTTCTTCATCCCTAACTGCATAGTTCATAGTTCCTCTCCAATATCCCTGACCCCACTCATCCAGCATCTGCTTGGATACCTCCAGTGATAGAAAATTAACACTTCCAGGTTCTAGCTGTTTCATTCAGCCCTACTAGCAAATTATTCCTTGAATTGTGCTAACATTAACATCTGTCTCTGATAGCATCTTCCAGTCCTAATTCAGCTTCGTGCCTTTACATGAAATACACCTTATCTCTTCTTTCTTCTGATATATAAAATTGATCTCCTGGTTCCTGGGTCTTTTTCCCTCAAGCATAAACAGCCCCCATACTTCCACCTGTGCCAAAATCACCCAGTTTACCCAACTGACAGGTACTAAATTGTGTCCGCAGTATCATCTGTTTAATTCCAGTGTGATATTTCTTTAAATACCTTGGGAATAATAATGATGGTGCTAAGCTAACTCTGTTTCCCCCGGGCAGTGGAGATCTGTCTGGCAGAGAGAGATGCTTGAACAAGTCTGTCTTCTTGTGAGGTGTCCTCTACTCACTTTCTCTTCCTTGAGGGGTGGCAGTCATATGCACTTATATTACAGATTACATTATTATAGTGTAACTGTTGAGTCAGAAATTACATCGCTTCCTCTAGGAACAGTGGCACCTTTCACTCCCACTCTCTTTTGGGTGTCAAGGGGAGACAAAACTATTATATTATTATACTTAATCATACAGACAAATGTATTACTTTTAAGATCACAGTTCTGGGTTAGTGGGTGCTTTAGGCTTTTGTTCTAGTGACCAAATCCTCTATGAAATCTTTAAGTTAAAACTCCAAATATAAAGTATATCTACTTTGGTTTAAATGGAGGTGGGGAGCAGAATAGATGTGGGGGGCAGGGAAGGGAGTTGGGCTCCCTCCGCTCAGCCCAGCCTTCATCCCCATCCCCAGGGTCCCCAGTCCACAGGCACCACCAAACACTAATCTGATCCAAACCACTGGTGCCAAGAAAAGTAGACATTTTGTAAGGATATTTTGTTCCACTCCCAGAAAGAAATGTGAAAATTTTGGGGGGAAATTTATATTCTAAGAAAAAATAGATTACCCAATTAACCATTAAAAAGATAGACAACTTAAAATACCAATTACCTAAGAAGTTGAGAACTTGTCAGTTACCACCTTAAGATGTTCTGGGCCACCTGTTTCCACAGATGAGTGGTAATAAACATTCAAGGAACAAAAGGTTTTTAATACTGTTTAAACAATTTCAGAGAATAAAGTGAGAAAGATATCTTCCAAATTGCTTTAACCAAGCCAGCATAACATTGATACCATATCATTAAAAACATAACAAGGAAGTACAGGAAAGGAAAATACCACCTTTTCCTTTCCTATCTCACCTATTTACATATGTGTGTATGTATGTAGATGCATGCATACATATAAAATAGAATTCAGCAGCACATAGAAAGAATACTAAACCATAGCCTAAAGGACTTATTTTTTAAAAATAAAGCTAGAATAATTTAAGGATATTTATTGGTATAATTCACTACGTTTATAGGTTAAAAGGGGAAAAATGATCATCTCAATAGATCCTCAAAATTATTTGAAAAAGTTGAAAATCAATTTCTTAGTTTTAAATTCCTTCTAATAAAATAGGAATGGATGTGTTCTTTAATAAAATTAAATTTATGTCTCTAATGAAAAGTATGTGTCATGCCTAATGATGAACTGAATCAAATCTGTTACACTTTAACACTTTTCTGGATATACCAACCATTTAATTAGAGAGTAGAGATAAATGAATAAAAGGTGAAACTAGAAGAAAGGTAAGGAATAATATTATTATTGTTACCTGATACACTCATAATTTTATACCTGGACAAAACAGTAAAATCAATCAAAAGGTAATTTTGCAAAACAGAAGGAGAATTCAAGACGGAAGCTGCATGCAAAATGAATATGCAAAACTCCAGGTTCTAGAGGGGAAAGGGGGTGAAAGAGGGAGAGGAGAGAGAGGGGAAGAGAAAAAAGACAGAGGAAGAGAGAGAGAGAGAAGGAGAAAGAGAGGGGAGGAGATTTGGGGGAAGAAAAAGGAGGAAAGAGAGGGAGAGACAAGGAAAGAAGAGAGGGCGAGGGAGAGAGAAGGAGAGAGACAGAAAAACCGGTTGTCTTGGACTCTTGAGCCTTCGGCAGCAGCCCTCACCTTCCTCCCTACCAGCTAAACAGGGCCTTTTCTCATCTTCTGGCTTGAGGCAAAATCTGCCTTTTTCTCCACAGTGATGTCATAAGAAAAGATCACAGTCACAAAACTAGTCCCCTTTCCAGCAATAAGAACCTGCATATTTCTTTCGGGGGAAAGATATGGAAGAATTTTTATAGAGACTACGCAGCAAGATTTTGAAATAGAGATTTCAAGTGGTTTATCATAGACGGTATCTAGAACACAATCCTATAGGGATTTCATGGATCATTATCAATTCTCTCTCCGTCACTAATCAGATTAAACTGTGCTGTTGAGAGAAGGGGCGTGTGGGTTATGCCACAGTATTTTGACAAAAGAAAATAAACAGGCACAAATTTATACTATTCCAAGTAATTCAATTAGAATGGGAAGAAATGGAAAAGAAACGAAACAGGAGCTCAAGGTTGGTTGATAACACTGATT